TGCTAAATTAGGGACGGCTAGCGCAGATAGCCCTCGTGTAGCTTTGCGCGAAATTCCAAAACAAAAACCTCGGTATCGAAACCCGATTTTTACCCCCTCCGAATTGCCGCTGAGTCAATGTTTGTTTGTTATAAATTTGCGCAAAGTTACACGAGGGTTATTTGCGATAGTCGTCCGTAATTTAGCACCGAAAGACTAGAAGGAAGGCAACTATTCACCGTCATATTATAACGCCCTATAGCTGAAAGGGCGAGCATGTTTGTTGGGACGGGGAGTTGAACCTCCAACGGATAGATTGCGAGTCTTATCCACTTGACTGACATGCCTGGTCCTGAACTACTGAATGAGAAGGAATTTTCATATAAAACTAATGCTTACTTGTCCATGTGCTTTAAGATTGTAACGCCCTCTATGGTAGGATAAGTAAAAATTGCCAGTTGTTTCTTCAGGTTTAAGTAGTGTAATATCCGTAAAGTTATTATACAAACCAAAAACAGATTGGAAGTTGGGAATAATATATGTTTATTCTAAAAATGTAATAAAAGTATATTTTTTAATATAGGTATAAATAATGGTGTTATCATAAAACGAGAATTTTTGCTATTCCACTACGAGTGGAAAGCTTTCATAACGAGTAACGTTAACGTCTTTAGGCTTAAACGTTCCCGAAGCAAAATCGAGTACGGGCAAAGGTGCGTGCGGGGTAAGCAGTAGGACTAGGTGTATCGTCTTCAGTCCTTGGTTGGCTAAGTCTACTAAGTATAAAATATTAAGTAAGAAAAAAGTTACAATTTTGAATAGAGAGCAAGAAAATGAGGTATTTTAAGGGGAATCATCCAAGTTTGTTCAAGACAAAATACATGTTTAAAAAAGATTGCTTTAATTCTTTGTTATGTAGTGGTACTATCACTAACAGTAACACATATATCAGAACTAAATTTTCTAATATTTGTGAAAGGCAAAATTATTATTTTTGTGAGCAAAGAAAAAGCGATGCACTTCCAGTTTTTAAGCTTGATTTAATTCAAGCTACATCTAGAAATAGAAGATCTGGCTTGTTAGCAGGGTTATTAAAAACTACATGTCGATCTTTAATCTTTAGTGTTTATAGACCTGTTCTTGGTTTTCACAAAGAGTACAAGAGCAATTGTTTTTACCCTCTTTTGGAGAGCCCAGGAATGTCATTATTAAAGTTCCAATTACCCTTGAAAACTGTTGACTGGAAAATGACGTTATTACCAATACCAGTCAACAGGTCACAGTCATTCATGTGCTACAATTGCTCATCTAAGTCCACCTCACAGAAAGAGAAGAATTGTTTTAGTTTTTACCCTTTGCCCAAAGCTTTAAGACAGTTTTCAACTTCTGCTGTGTATTATGAGCAAGAAAAACCAGATGTAGAAGGTGATGGCAAAGATGATAAAACTGCTAATTCCTTAACGGATTTCCCACATATTGTATGGCCAAGCTTATTTTTGACTGTTAAAAACTGGATTCAGACAAAGATTATTATCCAGCCATACTTGGACAAACAGTTTAACCACAAAGACTTTGTGGTAGGAGCTAAACAGGTGATAATTTAATCCTGTTTCACAGTTACAAGGAATTTTTGTTGATCAAGCTATAAATCTTTCTAATAATATGGCATGTTTGTAAACTAATGATTAAACAGTTATACATGCACCTAATTATTTCTTTGTTTAAAAAGGAGAATTAAAAGTCTAATGAAATACTTAAATGTATTGTTCTGCAGTGTTCCAGACTTCCCGTGATGTATGTAATGCCCTACCATGATATACATAAGCTATGTTTATTTGCCATTCTGCACCACACTGAGATATTACGTTCAGTTATAAGTTATCAATTTCCTGTATTATAAATTCAATGCTGGATTTTATTCAGAAATCTCGTATTGTTGTTTTTTTGCACATAATTTGATTATACTGAAAATATTTTTTGTTATTGTGAATGACTCTTGTGACTGAATTAAAATCTGTAGAATGAGTTTCAACATTGAGATGAGTCGAGTAAGGTAAATATATTGTTTCTTGTATGCCGGGAACATTAGTGTAACTGGGAAGAAAGAAGAAATGTGATTGTTAATAAACTTTAAAATGTTTTACTGAGTGTTTAGCTATGATAAGAAAAAAAAGAGACTTCTTGTATCTGTTCATGTGAATTTTGAATGAAGCATCAAAAGGTTATTGTCTTGTTATAAGGCTGGTTAAGCACCATTTATAGTAGTATGTAGATTTGACTCTGCTTACTACAGGAAGGATATCAAAATCATTGGAAGAGTGCACTACTTAGGTTATGAAGCATATTCTGTTTGTCGTATCCCAGCTGGCCTGAAGAGCTCTGGATTAAATGAAATGCATCATAGGCAATGGACGTGACAAATATAGTGTGGTTGGAATACTATTATAATACATTTCTAATTCTTGAATGCCCCTAAGGGACTAGATTAATAATGTAGTGTTTGAAAATGTTATGGGCCTAATATTAATGTTTCATGACAAGGCTTCACCGGCTTGTAAAATGTGTACACACCATAACAATTATCTAATTGTTCAGAATACTATTTTATAGCACTGTATACATAAAAATAGAAAGCTGACAATTTTTTTAAGCTGTTGTGTGACATGATTGTTGATGTGGTGGTATGATCACAGAGAAAGGTTTACAATAAGTTGTAGTATAACTTTTTTTTTCTTCTATCTCATAAGTGAATTTAATAGAAGTCTCTAAACTATTGAGTTAATTAGCAAACCTTGCTAAAGCTTCTTTACTATGTTGCTATATCACAAAGGTGTTATCAACATATCTACATTTCTGGTGTCAAATTAAATTTATTTAAAGCTTTACTTTTGAATTCATTCATACATAAAAATTACACAATAATGGTGACATCAGAGATCCCATAGCCAACCCTCCCTTCTGTCTTTAGTATGTATTATTAACAAGAAAAAACTAATATTTTTAAACAACTTTTTACCAGATTAATACTGTATAATTTCTAATTGTGAAATTGTATTTTCTCAGTGGAACTATAACTAAAACCTTTTCTTGTACTAAAGTTTTAAATTAACAATTGTATGCAAGTTTTATTTTTTTACATACAAGTAGCATATTTACTTTTAGTAATTAAGATGGATGTGGTAATTTTATTTCTATAGTTACCATATATCAGTTAGACTGTGGCTATATATATATATATATATATATATTTAACTTTTCAGGCTTTGGGAGTAGTTTCATCTTTACTTGCTGTTGGAGACTTTGAAGGCTTGGATGGTTTAGTAACTCAAAATGTAAGGCTTTAATTTCAAAACAAAGGTGTACTTTGCTGTGTATCATTTGGATTATGTTTTCTTGAAACATTGTAATTCAATTAGTGTTGTTTTGCTCATAAAGGTTCAAAATCTAGTGTTACTGACAGTATAAAAACTATTTAGTTTATAAGTAATGTCTAGGAGACTCATAGTTAAGAGCTAGCTTCATTACTTCCTTCCACATGATTAAATTATGTTGAAATATATATTACAAAGTTTACATACTATTTAAGGGACAACAAGGTGCTTGTTGGTCCATCAAGACTGTCCTGTCACTTAATAAAAAACTTCAAATCCAGCCCTGGTTGTTTGAATATTTGATGGTCCTTTCCTTAAATTTACTGCCTGAAAGCAACCCATTCCACTAACCAATCACCCTGTTAGAAAAGTAAAACTTTCTAAGATAAAGAAGAGTCCTTCCCAGCCTAATTTATATTTGTGTCCCCACAGACTACCATTTTCAATAATATATATAATAAAAGATGTACACTTCAATCACATCCCCTCTAACTCTTCATTTTTCAAGAGAAAACAAGTTCAAAAATCTTAACTTGTCCTCCTATGACAACTTTTCCATCTCAAGTATCATCCCAGTACCCCTCCTTTAAACTTTTTCCAACAATTCAATGTACTTTTTAAAGCAAGGAGCCCAAATTTTAGCAAAATACTCCATTGGAGACATTTCCCTCTAGGATGAGAAATACTGCTTCAATCTTCATTAGTAAAATCTGAAGAAACAGTAGAATTTAGTAATCTCATAATAGTTAGAAATAAACAGTCTATAATCATCCTAACATTTTACTTTCCATTAATATATTTTAAGGAATTCTTGCTGTTGATTTTTTACATTTCTACCCAACCTTTTCTTTCAAATTCCCTTTTCAATTGCCTAATGACTTGTTTAATTAACTTTCTTCATCTTCTGCAATCCTTTAAGTTTCATATCTTACCAATCATTGTAAACTTCATGAAATGTTAATGCTTTTCTCTACCTTTTTCCCATATCCTTTCATTAGCCAGTTTTGTTTTTTATTTGCAGCCACATTTTTGCTTGGTATTTAAAAAAATGTTCAAAAATCTGACCTTTTTTGTATTGTTAAGGTATTGAAAACTTAAAAATGTCATTGAAGTGGTATAAACTGTAAGTTGTTTTCTTGAACCACAGCTGTAGCTGTATTCCCATATTACAAAGTAAGCTTTAGGTTCTGTGTGCATGTAACATGAAGGTACTGGAGACATTGAGGATGAAACCCAAGATGTTGGAAGAAGAGACTCATTGCCATCAAATGCTTTGGAAATTTGGAAGACAATTGCATGACTTTTTGAGTTTCTATTTACAATATTAAAGAAGCATGACTTCATATGAGCTAAATAGATACACTAAAGATGAAATTACAGATTATTAACACATTTCAAATACAGGAGCAAAATTATATACTAAAAAGTGTTACAGTCCCTATATTATATAAGTACAACTTAAATCTGTATGAAACAATAAACAAAATGTACATTAAATGACTGGGCTGTCATTTGCACCAAAATGTATACATGTATCTTGTGGTTTTAACTAAATTTCATAAGTATCAAAATAATGCAGACTATATAATTGTAAATGCATTTGACTAGAAACTTGAAAGATATTTTTACAAAGAAATGTTTAACTTTTAAAATCATTAATTGTATAGTAATCATATACACCAGTGAAATATATGGTAAAAACTTTGTTATCCAGCACTTTGCTTTTCGAAATCTCTTGTAACCGCAAATTTTGATATCTCCAAATACAAATGTTCATTATTGCTTAGTGGCACTGCTGTAGCTCTATTATAACTTAGTGGCACTGCTGTAGCTTCATTATAGCTTAGTGGCACTGCTGTGGCTTCATTATAGCTTACTGGCACTGCTGTGGCTTCATTATAACTTAGTGGCACTGTTGTGGCTTCCTTATTGCTTAGTGGCACTGCTGTGGCTGGCATTGCAGTGACTTCCTTATAGCTTAGTGGTACTGCTGTGGCTGGCATTGCAGTGGCTTCATTATAGCTCAGTGGCACTGCTGTGGCTTCATTATAACTTAGTAGCACTGCTGTGGGTTCATTATAGCTTAGTGGCACTGCTGTGGCTTCATTATAGCATGGCCTGACATGGCCAGGTGGTTAGATCGCTCGGCTCGCAATCTGTGGGTTGTGGGTTTGTGTAGCTTTGCACAAAATTGAGAACAAACCAGAGTAACCTATGAAGAACTACCTGACATAATTGCTTTATCTCTAGTGTATATGCCATTTTCAGCTATCCAAAGCATCCGAAAAGTCTAAAACCTGTGAATAGCAAAATATGGGATTTCTTTTGTTCACCATCATTCTTCTTCAACAGGCCTAACGCCTACCTAGTTCTAGCAGTAACTATAATTTTATCGTCATTTGATAAAGCAAAACAGTATTCACGATCTTTGACTTCTTATTTTAGTATTATTATATGCAAAATTAAGAAAAAAATAATAATAATTTTAGTGAAAATGTTGTTATTACCACTTGAAGTTAGGTTTCTTATGAAAATCTGGGGTTCTTTTATCCTTTTTTAATCCATGAAAGGGCTTCTTTCCATTACCGTAATTGTCGTAAATGTACGGTTGGAAATGTTAAAAGGTTAAAAAGCTTAAATACAGGGTGAAACAGGAATTACCACCCAATAAGAGATGAACATTAGATGACTGTAATGTGTAGAATACTCAGCGCTTTGTACACTATATAATCAGTGTCTTTAGGGAGCCAAGCCTATATTATGTATGAAGTGAAGAAGTAAAAAAAAATCAATATACATACAGGTCTTCAGAAGCTAGATATGAAGAGCTACCTGACATAGTTGCTATACTTCTCATGTATATGCAGCTTTTCAGCTATCCCAAGCTTCCCAAAGTTGAAAACAGGTGCATAGCCAAAACCGAGATTTCTTATTGTTGTTCATCATCATCTTTCTTCAACAGGTCTAACACCTACCTAATTCTAGCAGTAATTATAAATTTATCGTCATTTGATAGAGCAAAACAGTGTTAACAATCTCTGACCATCTATTTTATTATTATTCTATACAAAATTTATAAAGTTGTAGAATACACTCTATAACCTAGTAACCTACATATGCCATCTAATAAAAAAATAAACTAAACAAGTATAGGAACAAAAACATCATTGCTAAATAAAATCCCTTTATTACTGGCATCCTCATTGACAAGACAAATAGAACCAGGATTTCCAATTGTAAAATGTTAATCTATTGTAAAATAGTCATAAACATAGTATTCTAAAGTTAACTGCAAGAAAGGTATAATGATGAAAGCAGAAATTCTATTCAACCACCAAGCTTTAGATAGACAAAGTAGGGAAGCCAGTAATGTAGGGATTTTATTCTCCATGTAAAGTCAAGATGGCTTATTTTGCTATGTGATCATTAGCCGAATCAAATGATATGTCCACTTCCATACCTGTCTTATTTCGTTCCTTTTTTCAAGTTCAGCAGCCAGCCCTACATAGCTTTTTTATATAACGATAATTTTTTTCCTAATACTTGCAGGTGACATAGAAATACTGTACTTTAAAACATTAACAAGATGTTAAAATGTTTCCTGCAAAATATTGTAAGGGAAGCATTTTCCTGACCAGAATTTTTGCCCATCATGCTCTGTCTGGGAGATGTCAGATAATAATGGTTTTTCTCTATACTCTATTTTTTAAAGGCTATTGCTGAAATAAAGAAGAACTACCTCACTCTGAATGTCCAGCAACGTCAAGAACTGGAAGTAAAACTAAATGACATTTACTTTTGCTTTCCGTACCAAATTGGCATCATGTTGGAGGATGGTAATAATTAGTTTTTGTATTCATAATGATAAAATAGTTTCAGTAAAGTTTCCTGTAATATATGGTTTTAAAATATTAATACATTTCTTTTTCACTGTTTATTGTGACTATGTTAACATAATCTGTTTGAACAAACACATAGCCTTAGGTATAAAGACACTCATGTGGCAACTGACCAAACCTTTTATGTTGAAATATTGCAATAAATATTTCATTAAAAATTCCATCAGATACTTCTGTTTGAATTATTGCTCATGGTGAACAGATATTTAATTGTATGTCATATTGGCATTCTGTTTTGTTTTTATGACTGTTTAATGTTATAAAAGCTTAAATTTTAGAAAAAATCTCTTTAGGATCACAGCAGAGATTTGTGGAAGTCACTGTTGTTTATCACTGTCTTCGTGACTTTGATGAAATTAAAAAAGAAGATCCAAGTCTTCAAACCATCAACCAATATAAGGACCGTATCTTTGTTTGTAACTACAGGTATGTGAAGAAATAGTAAGATGTCGGTCAGATTGTGCTCGTAGAGTAAGCACTACCTTTTACAAATGTTCTCTGTTCATTTCACACTACCAACAGTTTGTTTACTCCACTTACTAACAAATTGGAAAGCATGAGCTACATTATTTATAATGTATTTTTGCCTCCTAATACTATCTTGCCTATCTTTGGTTCGACTACTGATTTCATATATTAGAAATAGCTCTGTTACTATGACAATCATTAATGTATCCAGATATAGTTACCTTGAAACTCTTAGCTATTGTAACTTCTTTTAAAAACAAATATTTGTATGACATCCTTTTACAGAATTCTTTGTCTTATAATAAAGGGTTCATTAGAGAGGAGTTTTATCCCCCTTAAAATTTCTTTTCTTATGTATATTATGCTCACATTATCCCCAAAATGTTGAACCATAAAAAAAAAAAAGACCAAAATCTTGCTTTGAGGCACTACCATGCTAGTATAGGTGGATGAACGTGATTCATGCTGAATCCAGTGAGAATGCATTTTACTTGAAATAAATTGTTTTCTGTCCAGGCAATACCTGCTGCATTGGACTCTAGTAGGAATGATGATACAACATGTAACATATATTTGAGTTTGAGCTTCAAGTGGTGCAATAGTCCGCTGAATATATTTTGGGCACATTAACACATTTGAAATTACTATTTCTCCATAACCTGATGCTCAGTCTGAAATCCTTAAAAGTTGTACAATCTGGTTTGGTCCAGGATGCAACAGGAGTGGAATCTGAGGAAGTGTAGCTTGGATCACTTCTTTCAATTTCAAAGTGACCAGGAGGAAGATCAAATGCAAGGCAGATGGATAATAGATTCATGGCATTTAGTACAAATGGCATCATCTTTCTAAAGTAATCTTCTTAGTTCACTATTTCTTGGTTCTGGTGTGCATCTTTTATATTTAGGTACACACTTCACATCCAACACACCAAAATACCTTTGGAATGATTGAATGATGTTTCACTAACATTAATTCATTATGAACATTTTAAACCACTCAGAGTAACTAATGCTGCAAAGCATTGTTGATTTCATAACTGCAAAAGTGTTTCAGTTTCATATGATAAAGTAATTTCTAATGTGCAACTAATGTGCTTTACTAAACAATTTCAATCTCATTGATTTATAAGTAAGGAATCAGTGTAGTTCCAAAATGGTACTACCTTTTCTCACCCAAAGCTGTCTTGATCCTGGTCTGCCCTCTAAGCATTATTAAAAAAAATTCGCTACAGCGCACCAGTCTTTATACCCCATCAGTTGTGCGCCTTAAAAGAACATGTGTTGATCATGTGACTACTCTCCACCAATTGTCCTGCACCATCTGTACTGACACGGCTATCTCCCTCTACTATTCTAGAACAATTCTCAATTTCTCGATTGGCATTCTAATGTGTAGATCTGTGTTTTAACTTGTTCTCCATTTGACTACAATATTTTAATTGTGCTTGATCACAAATTTATATCAGTTTCAACTTCTTGTGTTTGAGTTTCATTGTTTCTACTTGTTTGTTTGAGAAATATTTCTGTTTTCCAAATTGTAATTTGTTCATATGAATTTGAGGTTTAGTATGGCAGATGATGAAATTCCCGGGAAATTCGGCAATGGTTCTGACAGGAGTCCTCAAGTCTCAGGGTCAGTGATGTCTGATGAGAAAGTACAGGCTTTTGTTCACAGGAAGTTCTGAGGAAGGATATAACTACTGATTAGAAATTTCTTTTTGCAGCATCTTCCACCTGTTACTGCTCTTCATGTAATCTCTTGGATTAGGTATTGTTATTTTTCCCAGGAGATCTGTGGTAAGTTTTCAGTGTGTATTGCTCACCCCCAGTAGGCATACCCATGATTAGCGAGTTTATGTGAGTTTGTTTGGATTGACCAAATTTCCCCATGCAATAATTTAGGTCTTCTCTTCTCAGTGTTTGGTAGTTACTTTAGTTTAAATTTCTGTTTAGAGTTTGATAATTACTTTGTTTTTGTTTATTTTTGGTATATATATATGGGTTTTCCACGATGGTTACTGTTTGGGTAATTGTAACCTTGGCCAATCATGTGAATATGTTGGTTGGTTATTTATACTTCCTTTCACTGTTTTTGTTAGTTAGTTTGTTCCTTTTTCTTTACTACTAGTCAGATCTAATTGGGGATTAGATTTGAATGAAATTTTATTTTTTAACTGACTGCCTTTTCATTCTTTTATTCTTCTGGGTAGTTTTTACTTGTGTGTATTTTGTTTTATTGGTTCTTTGAGTAGACTTATAAGTTTGGTATTTACATTTCTTTTATCTTCTAAGTTCCTTTGGTGGATTTGTACTTTAGGTGTTGCTTGTTGTATTATGTTTTAGGTCGAACTTCATCGTTTTGCAAGTTTGTTACTTTGTAGACTTTTTCTAATTATGTTAGTTTATGTGTCTTTGGGTTTTATGCCCATCTAATTGTTGTTCCATGAAAGATTGGAGACCTGTCATAGATCTGGCCCGGCATGGCCAGGTGGTTAGGGTGCTTGACTCACAATCTGAGGGTCGCGTGTTTAAATCCCCGTCGCACCAAACATGCTCGCCTTTTCAACTGTGGGGGGCATTATAATGTAATGGTCAGTCCCATTATTTGTTGGTAAAAGAGTAGCCCAAGAGTTGGTGGTGGGTGGTGATGACTAGCTGCCTTCCCTCTAGTCTTTCACTGTTAAATTAGGGATGGCTAGCACAGATAGCCCTTGTGTAGCTTTGTGCAAAATTCAAAAAGAAACAAAAACGAACAAACTCTTATCTGGAGCCACATCACTTCACCATGGAGTCCTACCTCTCACTTTGGTGGGAGGGGGTCTTTGGGATTCTGGATGACCATATAATCATGACGGATGCATATCTTGATATTCCAACTGATCCAGTGTCATGTCATTTTCTGTGGTTTGTGCACGAGGGTTGTGTCATCCAGTTCTGGGCTCTGCAACTTGGTCCTTGACCAGCTCCATGTGTTTTGTCAAGTGGTACATTCTTTTGCCCATTATTTTCACTCGTTGGGTCTTCAGACTCTCCTTTTTATGGACAACTTACTCCTGCTCACCTCTTCCTGTGCTCAGTCAGTCAATCATGCTTGCTTACTTCTTCGGGAAGATAATTGGGTGGGGTTTTCTGATCCAGTTGGGGAGGTCCATTCCTAACCCCACTCAATATTTTATTCCATTGGGGTTTTTATTCAATTCCCATCTTTGTTGGGCCCGGCCTTCTCCACTTTGGATCAGGGATATGGAGCAGGCAGTCTCGATAGCCCAGCTTCTCCTTTTCTCACTGCAAGAGAGGTTCTCTCTCTTTCGGGGATGTGGGCTTCCTTGGAAGTTCTCATTTCCTTGGGTCGAGCTTACATGTATTCCCTTTAGTGGGTGCTTCTCAATCAATGGAACTTCTCCCAGAATCCCTTGGACCATCGCATTATCCTTGCTTAGTGGCTCGACAGGGAATTGACCACCGTGGGGGCTCGTATTCCTCCACCTTGTCCAGAGTTTCATCTGTTTACTGAAGCTATCTTAGTTGGTTTGGTGCTTTATGCGATTCCAAAGAGATTTTGACATCACCAAACTCCATCTTCACACGTAGCTCGTGTACTGTCTTTCCTTTCCTGTTCAACATTCCTCCTTGTCTGTGTACAAGAGGCAGTGGTCTACGTTCAGACCTTGGTCCATTAACCATGGCTTCTGCCCCTCCTGTCCTTCGGTACCTCATCTTTTCCAGTTCTTCACCTGGTTGTTTCACCAGGTTTTGTCTGTGTCCACTGTTTCTAGTTATAGGACTGCCCTGTTGAACATCTTCTGATTCTCCCATTTCTGGAAAGCTTTCTCCTCTCTTGTTATATCCCTTCTTTTGTATTGTCTATCCTCCTTGTCCCTTTGTTTTGCCATCTCGGTTCACAGTTTTGTCCTTCATGCCCTGTCCAGTTCTCCATTTGAAACTATTGCTATGTGTTCCTTGCACCATCTTGGTTCACAGTTTGTCCTTCATGCCCTGTCCAGTTCTCCATTTGAAACTATTGTATGTGTTCCTTGCACCATCTGGCTTGCAGTCCTTGTCATTCTGATATTTATGCCCTTGATGTTTCCCGCATCCTCTATCCTGATCGGGCCTTCCTTCCCTACAACTCTGCTGTCCATGCAGGTTGTTTGCCCTTCTCTTCTATTTACTTACATTTCATTTTCCACGTGTACTCCCATTCAGTTTGGTTTCGAGATAGACTTTTTTGTCCAGTTCATTCCCTGAGATCTTATGTGGCTTATGCTGCCTCCTTTCTTGTTATCGTTCCTGTCTATTTATTTAAAGGATTCCCTTTGTGTCCTGTGATCTGTCATCTATTGCACTCACTGGTTGGGTTCGTCGACTCATGCGACTGGGGTATTGTGACTTGTCCATCTGCATGATGTTTCTTCGTACCTAATTAATCATCTAACTATGTCTTTAGTTGCTCGTCTTCACTGGCCTTTGGAGGAGTTCATTCAGGCTGAGATGTGCACAACTCCCAATACATTCATCTCACATTATCTGCATGACCTAGCTGTGTCTTCCTTGGGTGGGTATCGTCATTCTCCTGTGGCGATTCTACACACAACTGTTTGCCTTTGACTGGAGTAAGTCAACATGTTACTTTTCCTACATATTTTTAGTTGATACACATCGTATATCAGGATCTCATCTTATACTTGCTCTAGATATGAATAATTCTATGACACTCACTGTTGATATGGGGTGTTTCAGTAAGACCACTGTCAGCTTGTCTGGTGGTATGTGTATCCTTATACACAGTTTCTGTTACTGTGTATTTTATATTAATAAAAGTTACTAGTTTCATTTATTATGGACCTCATGAGTAAAGCAGATGGGGATTTCTGCCCATCCATGCTGATTGATGATTCATGTACAATCTGGGTCTTTCTGCTTTTTAAAATAGGGAATTTGAGACACCCATTGTACTGTCTTCGCTGTGTCAGATTCCCCAATGCATATTTCCTCTCCTTCTCTTCTAGTGGAGCATGGAATTCCTTACCATCTCCAGTTCCCTGTTGCTGGAGTGGTGGACTGTGGAGGTACTATGTCTTGTTTCTTACGATGGCTTGTTATGATCTGGATGGGGACGGAGGACTAGTTATGATGACCCTCACGATCACACTCATAACAGTAATTTATATCTTTCATAATCTTACGTATCCAAAGCGATTCCGCTGGATATTTTTGCTTGTGCAGACTGCACTTGTTGATCACTATATCTTGGATTACACTTGGTGTAATCCGATGTAACCCATGGCACTTCTCTTGGCACAGACATATAAGGGAAAGTGGTGCACACTCACGAGCCTTTTCATGTTTATCAACACCATACTGATTCATGTTTTAGTTATCCGGCACTTCCTACACAGATTCAGTGCTACACTCTCCTTAGTGATTTCAGTTGTGCCTGTCAGTTCAGTTCTGCCCCAATTGTGTTACCATACTGATTACTGGATGAAGAGCATAGCTGTTTCAGAACTAGTGCTGTACCCCACTGGTGTTCTATTTTTTCATATGCTAGCACACCCATTCTGTCAGTGTGGTTGAATTCTACATGATTTGAGATTGATGTGTCTTCATTGGCCCCTCCACCTTGGCTTTGGGTGAGTAGAGGTAGTACCGTTTTGTAAGTTGACATTTTCTTTACTTACCCACTTCCCACCCTACCTAACCACTCAGATGCCGGTGTTTATGGTTTGTGCCTGCCAAATTCTTGAAATTGAGGATTGTTCTAGAATAGTAGAGGGAGCTAGCTGTGCCAGTATATATATAGCACAGTTATGACCTGTATGAAGTCATTTTACTAGTTTTGATTTTTATGTATGTATTTGGCAAAGAGTAGTCACATGATCAGCACATTTTCTGAAATGGCATAAAACTGATGGGGTATGAAGACTGGTATGTTGTAGCAAAATTTTTTTTAACAAGATCAAGATAGCTTTGGATAAGTGGAGGTATGTACCTTTCAGAAATACATTTTTAGAGAAAGAAAATGTTAACATTTGTTCAGTAATTACCTTTGCATCACAAAATAAAAAATATTTAAACACTCCAAAGCATGACACAAATTTGACACTTTAGCAATGATAAATTAATTTCTACAAATTCACTATCTCATAGTAAAATTATAGGTGAAACAATTTCAATAATAGATAGTTATTTTGTATGAAAAAGTACCTTTTAGTGTTCTTTGCAAGGTTTATGCACTGCTTTTTCTAGTGACAGTGGCTATTTGCTTAAACTAATGTCCTCTACATGCTTACCGTGGTGAAATAACCCTTCCAAACACCAGATGTGCCTTTGTCATGTGACTATACATAAACAGGTTATTTTTTGTTTTGTTGAGTTTGCTTTCACTTAGGACTATCATTTGTTCCAATAAATCTGACAGTACAAAATCATTTTACTAGTTTTAATTTTTAAATTATGTAGCAGAATTCATAATCCAAGTAGATATTTTACTTTGTTTTATTATTGTGTTAATGACATCTTCCATAGTAGGTTTGGATAATATTTTACTCATTAAGTTTTGTTTCAATTTGATGGAAGGTTCTGTTTGATTCTGTTATGGATGTTCAGTATTCTTTTCAACTTTGATGTAACAATTTTAGACTTGTTTTTGGCACAAATTTGATGGTTCTGCTCTGATTCTGAGATTTACTTTGTATAAATTGACTGTGACTCAGTCCATAAGTCCTTCTTCTGTCAGTCTGCCTTGGGTTGCTCTTGTTCTTTTCAGTCTTTCTACCCCTTAAAGGCTATCTTAAATCTGAGGTATTATCAGGGTTTTCAATACCCTAGTACCCTGAGTATTTTAGACAAAGATTTCAGAGTTAACACACAAAAATTACATCATATAAGTACATTCGTGTATGGAAATTTTGGTTCACATGCATGAAAACATTTAAATACTGCATTAATGTTAGTGTTCTAATGCTTTTACTGAATTTAGAGTAATCACAATATCAAACACATTTGCTTTCTTGATGCAGGTGTTAGGTACATGTATGTAGTATACATTAGAAATTGGCTTGAACCATGTATACAGTAGTCGAGTTCATGGATGCCGCATGGACAATCATACAAATACATCCAGTAGCACTCTCACTTCACTGACAGTTACATGACTGAGGTATCTGCACAGACAGGAAAGGGCGAGCTGTCAAGCGAATAATCTATTAATTGATAATATCTGATTACTGTTTCCTCCATTTCTACTGCATGGTTTCCTGTCTGTGCAGATACCCCAGTCGTGTAACTGTCAGTGAAGTGAAAGTGCTACCGGATATATTTGTGTGATTGTGGGCGAGCTGTCAAGCGAGTAATCTATTAATTGATAATATCTGATTACTTTTTCCTCCATTTCTACACAGTTTGCAATCAAAAGAAACATGACTTTGATTAGATTATCAGGCAGTAATTGATCATGGTCTATTATTAGTTGCACTGATGAAGATGAATGGTAAGTGGTAATCAGCCTGATTGTTAGACTAAAGGATGCCTACTCATACTTGTAATTATTACATAATAATAATACACACTTGTTTTAAAGTGGTGAAAATTGATTACATTTACCAGTTTTACAGTGAGTATTCATCAGAGTACATCACAATGTTACTTTACAGTGAGTATTCATCAGAGTACATCACAATGTTACTTTACAGTGAGTATTCATCAGAGTACATCACAATGTTATTTTACAGTGAGTATTCATCAGAGTACAGACAATGTTATTTTACAGTGAGTATTCATCAGAGTACATCACAATGTTACTTTACAGTGAGTATTCATCAGAGTACATGACAATGTTATTTTACAGTGAGTATTCATCAGAGTACATCACAATGTTACTTTACAGTGAGTATTCATCAGAGTACATCACAATGTTATTTTACAGTGAGTATTCATCAGAGTACATCACAATGTTATAGACACCAATTTCTTTGTTTGTCACTCCTACCCCATCACAAAGTCATAAGAATCATCACACATGTATGTGTACACTCTGAACACATACAAAAGTAACGGGGTTTTACTGTGATATGAAGGCAATGCATATTTGCTATAGGAGGCTTCAGTGGCATCACTAACTTTGCCACTCTGATGATTTTTAAGTGTTCACCTTTACATTTCTGTCTGTTATGGTGGCCTAGATTAAACTATTGTACCCACTAGGTTGGATCTTAGCTGTGTGATTTCTTATCTTTGACTTCATGACCATAATATTTTGATTTGCTTTCTTCATTGTCTGACTATTTCTGTTCTGTCTCTTTTTATGTCTTTAGTATTATTATTTAAGCATGATGTAATGTGGAAGATAAGACTGTTTTTGAGTTAGATCGTATGCATCATCATTATTTTTCATTCCTTTGTTCTTCCACTGTTCCTTGATTATAGGTGTTGATGTTAAGGTAATCATAGATAGTGTATGTAGTGAATGTTCACTGACTAAAAACTTTCTACAACAATACAGAATTGACAAAAGCTTTATAGCTTACCTCCATGTGAGGTGTTTTTTGAAGCATTTTTAATTTTATCGAGAGCAATAAAAGTTTGACCTGCTAACAGAATATATTGGAATGTAGTGCAAAAGTTTAGTGCTTATTTAAATACATTTTATTATTGAAATATAAAGTTACTCAAAAGTTTTAATACAATAATTTTACTGGTTAGACATGATTAGAAAAATATGGCAAGAAATTACTTTACAGAAAAACTTTTACATTTTGCTACACATATGGTGAAACAGACTGGAAAGAAATGTTTCTTTGAGTAATGATGCGTAATTGTTTGTAATAGAGTAATTAATAATAAAATAATAAGTCTTAATAGCCAGTATTTAAGGTTTTCAACAACGAACAATGTTTTGTTATTATTCTGTTTAGTAAAGATAGATACCATTTTTTGATCATTTTTCCAGTGTAATGAATTTTCAGGTCTGTATAATACTTTATAGTAACTTTTTTTCATTGTGGTCATAGGTTTATACGAGAATACACCAAAGGAGTAGAAAGTGACTGGATTATCAATCGCCTAAATCACTTCAAACCTAGTAATCTTGGATGAAATGAAAAACAACTTTAGTTACATTGTATAGTTCATATAATTTGTTTTAATTGTTCAAGCTAGGTTGTTTTCATCAAATGTTCTATCAAAAGAAAGATATTGTGAAGAAACTAGATTATGATGTGGTTGCTGGGTATTCTGGTGATATTATTGTAATTAGATAAATCATTAAAATGCTAGTATAAAGCAGCTGATGGAACTTTTTAAGCAACGAATGTCCATATTAGTATAAATAAACAAAGTTATGTGGATTTTTGTTGTTGTTTTTATTTATATTTTACAAATTACAACTTTGGTATAACACAAGATTTGTATAATATTATTTTCAGATTAATGCAATGTTTTATGTACTTTTTATTGTAATTAAATAAAATATATGTAAATATACTGAAAAAATGCTTGTTTAATCAGATCTAATACTTGTTATACAGCTAAGATATTTGCAAAATCATATTGGCATGACATAATTTTTATGTTAGTTGAAAATAATGATGTTTCTATTACAGCTAAGATGTACAAATACTTATAATTGATTTCTCAAGATTTTTATCTTGATAAGGAGGACATGTCAAATTATGTAAAAGCCTTCAGGTCACTGTTGTTTATTCTTCCTGAATATTTATGTTGGTAGTGCTCAAAATTTGCTGGCCTCTGCTTATGTTCCAGTAAATCTCATTAATCAGTTGACTGTAATTTTGAGGAGTGCATCTGCCAAGAAGCTATCTTATGTATGATATCATCACTGTGGCTGTTTTGTCCTTTAGGGAAAGAAAAGATCCAAATTTTACAGATTCTTGTTTATGTTCTAGTGAGTCTGGTCAGTAATGTGACTGTGGTGTGAGAAGTGCAGCTGGCTGCTGTGTCCTTTAGGGAAAGAAAAGGTTCAAATTTTACAGATTCTTGCTTATGTTCTAGTGAGTCTGGTTTAGTAATGTGACTGTGGTGTGAGAAGTGCAGCTGGATGCTGTGTCCTTTAGGGAAGAAAAGGTTCAAATTTTACAGATTCTTGCTTATGTTCTAGTGAGTCTGGTCATTAGTGTGACTGTGATGTTTGAGGAATTCAGCTGGCTGGTGTGCCATTTAGGGAAAGAAAAGGTTCAAATTTTACAGATTCTTGCTTATGTTCTAGTGAGTCTGGTCAGTAATGTGACTGTGATGTTTGAGGAGTTCAGCTGGCTGGTGTGCCCTTTAGGGAAAGAAAAGGTTAAAAAGTTTACAGATTCTTGCTTATGTTCTAGTGAGTCTGGTCATTAGTGTGACTGTGGTGTTTGAGGAGTTCAGCTGGCTGCTGTGTCCTTTAGGGAAAGTAACGTCCAAATTGTACAGATTCTTGCTTATGATCCATTAGTCATTAGTATTACACCAATATTGTACCTTTTGGTAAAGTAGAAGTCCAAATTTTGCTGACTTTCTCATGGTATAGCAAGTCTGGTCAGTAGTTTGATTGTGATATTTGAAGACTGCAGTGTTATTAAACTATCTTATTATGCTTATAGAGAATAAGAACTCCTTCCAAAGGATACCAGAAAGAGGAAATTGTTATAGTTGTGAGAAACCCACAGCTGTTTAGACACCAAAGATTGAATCTTTGAGCCCAACCAGATCAAGTGAACAACCAAGGCTAACCATACATAGGGAAATAGTAATTAGTTGGCCTTATGGTGCAAAATGCAGCTGAGAATACTCCATCTGTCCCAAGTGAGATAAATTCATTATTTTAAGAATCCAGTCCATGGTTTTATTAATGGGAAGGCTTGCAGTATATTGGTTGACATTGATTCTATAGCTACAATTGTTTGACTTGATTTGGTAATGAAAGGTGTGAAACTGCCTCCAGATATGAAGAAAAAGGCAAACAGCAATTGGATATACAGTTCCAGCAAGAGGAAAAGAAGAATTCCAAAATTATTCACTTACCTCTTCACACAGTAACTATTCCTTGTACGTCTGCCTTTGAGATTTTGTGCATGCCATTAGCCTTGAACAATCTCTTGCCTAAGCCACGTGTTTTGACATGACCTGCAACATTGCATGATGTAATCATCATATGACAATAGCTCTCAACCAATAGGAGGGTGACTTATCCTCTTTGTGAAGTAAATCCCTCATAAGTACATGCTTGAAATTAACTTTAGATTACATTAGATTTATGATGCCTTTAGTTTGTTGTAACTTCAATTTAAAGCTACACTGCTTCAAAGTAACTAAAACAGAGAAATAATTCTTGATCTGTAGAACCATGAATTCTCAAATGACAGTGACTAGTACCTCATAACCTCCCTTCTATGTCTCTGGTCACTGGAGGTTCATTGACTGTTAAAGATATTACTGCCATAGTTCATTGTGTTGTGTGTTCTTTGCTGCCTTCCATGCCTCATTTCCCTGTCCCTATTTAATAAGGGAATTCTCCTCTTTCTGAACCTTATCACATGGACGATGGCTTTGATTGGCTCTTACCACCTCCCAGGTTTTCATTAGGCTCCTCTCTACCTCTTGGGGAAAATGTTTCTTTCCAAATCTTAGGTTTGTTCATTACTTTGTCTTTTGATTCTTCCCATTTTTTACTACATGACTCTCACTCTGAGGATTATTTGTTGGTTTTTTTTGTCCTTCTCCAGACATGCATGTCTATACTGATACGCTCCTGGATTAGCCTCATTCCCACTCTCAAATGCCTTGTCCTTCTTGACTTCAGGATTCCTTTGCCATGGCTTATGGCCATTCCCCCTTTCCATTATTGGATTCACAATTGCTGGGATCTTTTTTGTCCACTTAGAGTGCTGACCCCTATCTTTAGTGCTCAGTTTTCCCATCTATGCTTTTTCTTATTAATCTCCTTTGTTACCTATCCCCTCTTCATCTCCTATCTGAAGCCCTAAACAGCGATCTCAGTGGGTTTTCTAAGAATTTTTCAGCTGGTTCTTTTAAGTACATTGTTCAGGGTTTTGTCTTCTGCCTTGTCTCAGATTACATGATTCCTATGTTGTTGGGACCTTCTGGGACATGATGTTCTTCTCTCTACCATTCATATTTCCCATTCTCACCTTTGTGATCTCCATCTGGCTTCTTTTCTTTGCCCTGAAGTCTTCAAGAGTGTTTCTGACAATCTGGAGACTGGCCAAGGCTTGCCTGACACCAATCTTTTCTTTCTTCCCTGGTTTCTTGTCTCTCATATCCTAATGAGTCCACTTCCATTACTCAACCTCTTGAACCCTCCACTTTTCCCATTTCTCACCCCTCTACATTTTCTTGCCATCACCCCTCTTGTTGGGTTGTCTGATGTAAGTCCTGTCAGTGACTCCCTCCCCTTGTATCCAGGTGACTTGTATCCAATGTGGAAACATATATTTCTGTTTGCATGCCTTTGGACTCTTTTTATGGCATACCACTGGGTCATTCAGGTTCTTACACACAGTTTTTACTTACCATCTATTCTTCTTCTGTTCACTTTTCCTGTTCCTTTTCTTTCTCCGACCAGTCTTCCTCTTCTACATCTCCAGGCTGCATTAATAGATTTTTTTGGACATGAAAGCCATAAAGAGGGTCGTTTGCCCCTCTCTGGGATTTTATTCTTGTCGTTTTGTTGTCCTTCAAGAGACCAGGCTTCCTATCATCGAGCTTTCATCTCTCAACCACTATTTGTTGGTTCCTTATTTCAAGATGGAGGGTTTCTTCCTCTCTGTTGGATCTATTTCCCCAGACTATGGATGACCAAGGTTGACATCTTGGATGTCTTTCTACATATTCTGATTGCCCTTTCCTCTTTATCATTTTCTTTTATATGTTCACTGGGATCAGGTGTACTAGTTTCAAGCTCCTCCCTTTGGAATAACTTTGGCTCCTTATGTCTTCATCTGAGTCATGGGAGCATTTGCTCCACGCATCCACAATACATGGAAAATTGGCTTCTACTCGGCTCTTCAAAGGCATTCTTCTGGGCTGTGTCACTTCTTCTTCGAGAAGCAGCTTGTCTCGGTTAGTTGGTCAAGTTTGTGAAGTTATTCCTGACATTGACACAATACTTGATACACCTTAGAGTTTTTTTTTAGTTCTGAACTCAATTAGGCTCAGCATTCCTGCTTTCATCTGCAAGACAAGGAGTGTCTGGTTACCTCGATTTTTATCTCTCCTATACTTCCTGTGCAAGAAGTTCTATCTCTTTTGGCGACTCATCTGTTGAACATCTTGTCTCTTGAGACCAGGCTCACATGATACTTTTTCAATGGATTTTGACCAACCAGTGACACATCTCTCATCATCCTCTGCCTTTTCTTTTAATGTTGCTGCCTTTTCCTTGCTAACACTGTGATTAACATACCACAGCAACACCTCTGTATGGATTTCCATTTCTTTGCTAATGCATCTCTTATGGGTTGGGGCACGTTTCTGGATGATGCCTTGGCCTCAGGGGTTTGGTGTCCTGTGGAGCATACCTTCCACATCAGTGCTCTGGAACTCTTGGCAGCCCATCAAACGTTTTCCCATCTGACAAAGCAAGTAGAGAGAAGACAGGTTTTACCACAGATTGTTTTGTGGCAACTTGTTACCATTTGGATTATGTAATGTTCCTACTATATTCCAATTATTAATGGAGTGTGCTGTGTCTGTACTACTTTGAAACATTATACTTATCTATTTGGGTGACATAGTTGGGCATGTGAGATATTTAATAATGCTCATGAAGGTCTAAGGAAGTCTTTGGAATTTTTGGGAAAAGAGAATGTTAAGCTGAATTCTTAGAAGTGTGTTCTGTCAACAGGTGAGTTTTCTGGGATGCAGCAGATCAATCAAAGATTGGCTTTGTCCAGAATTGACGAACAGTAAAGAATCTGCATGAGGTAAGAGGATTTCTTAGGCTTTGCTCTTACTATTGTCATTTTGTAAAAATTTTTACTGATATAACTTTTCATCTACACAAATTGCTTAAAAAGCCAAATACATATTGTTAGGTTACTGATTGTGGACAAGTATTCAACAAACTGAAGAATGAATTGACCACTACTCCTTTATTGGTATACCAAACTCTAAAAGATCCACTCATTTTAAATACAGATACTAGCGATTATTTTGTGGTAGTAGTTTTGTCACAAGAATACAGAAAAGAACATGTGATTGCCTATTTTAGCAAACCAATAAATGCCACAGAAATGAAGTATACTTCAACTGAAAAATAGCTACTAGGAGTTGTTCAAATCATGAGCCACTTTCATCATTATCTACATAGGTAAATCATGCAGCATTGAAGTGGCTG